CCACATGCCCTGAGCTACTCAACCTTTTTTACACAGCTCTCGCAGTTCCAGGTAATATCAGACCCTTCCTTGCTCCACAGTTAGACCATCAAAAACCTAAGGCCAATCATTGCCATCTTCTACTGACATACTTATAGTCATCATTCTTCAGACACGAAGCCTTAGGTTCTCACCTCAGAAGGTTTTTCCTTCCTGCTTTTCTCTGTTTTCACTCTTAGCTGCTTTCCACACCCTGAGAAAATCAGGCCCTTCCAACGGTAAATACTCTGAGCCTTCTACACGCGGACGCTCTATCACACCAACTAGACTCCACGTTTCTTTATGGTTATTAGAACACATCTCACACACAGAAAATGTTTTCGATCATTCCTTTTCCAATTCCTTTCACAAATATAAAACTCAATAATGATCTTTCTTTTTCTTTCCTATGAATTGCCTATTCTCATCTGGATCTGAGCTGGGGGTGGGCAGATGAATATTATCAAAAGTACAGAGAGTCCTTTAATTAGACAGTCAAGCAAAAATCACAAGAATACTTCAGAAAGTGCAAGAGAAAATGGGATTAAAATTTATTTTAGTGCAAAATTTGCTTCAGTCCATGCAGTTTTTTCAGCGTGCTCTTTCTAAAATCTCTTGTACCTACTATTTCAAAATTATTTCACATCAAAACAAATTTACTTTTTAATTATATTTTCAGCACACTTTTCCAAGTACCCTAGTAACTGACAAAGCAGCTTTGGGTACGCTGTGGCTGTTCCCTTGTCCTCCAGATCTGAGGAGGGCAGTGCCCAAAGCCTGCGTTCCTGAAAGCTGGGATTGGCTTTTGTAACTCTAACCTGGCAACCTGGAAGGAGCAGGACTGACAGGTTCCCGAAGGGACAAATTAGACTTAATCTTAAAGGCACTTTTGTTGACTTTAATCTTAATGACTTTAGAGGAGATATAAAACTTAAACAGAACATCAACTGATGCAGATTTCATTTTAACTCATCCAACTCTTACTTCTTATTGGTTTCAAGGAAATGAAGTGGAATTGTTAAATTTAGTAATCCGACATAAGGAAATGATTAATTTTTCAATTACATTAATAAGAGGGACAAAGATCATATATTATAAACCCAGCTCCTCCAATACAGGTAATATTTTTTCCTTTTTCTTTTTTTGTTTTGTTTTTTGTTTTTAATTGGAATGGCAGATTTTGCAGAGAGAAGGAGATACAGAGAAAATGATCTTCCATCCACTGGTTCACTCCCCAAGCAGCCCCCATGACTGCAACTGAACCAATTCAAAGCCTGGAGCTTCCTCTGGGTCTCTCACGTGGGTGCAGGGTCCCAAGGCTTTGGATCATCCTCTACTGTTTTCCCAGGCCACAAGCAGGAAGCTAGACAGGAAGTGGAACAGCCAGGACATGAACCCATATGGAATCCCACAGCTTCAAGAGAAGACTCAGCCACTGGGCCATCACTCTGGGCTCCAACACAGGTAATATTAACCTTATTCAAATAATATGTAACTCATTCTTTAAGCTTCTCTGTGGAAGCTTAACTTGAACAAAAATTAAGTTGTATTAAGAAGGAACATTCAGGGGAGAGAAATCAGCATAGCCATTAGAGCTGCTGGTTAAGAATACCCACATCCCACAACCAGGTGCCGAGTTCAAGTCCTGCCTTCCAGCTTCTGCGTCCAGCTTCCTGTTACCACAGAACTTGGAAGACAGCAGCAAAGATTCAAACACTGGCTTCCAGCTACCTCCTGGGAAAATGTCCTCCTGACCCCAGGGCTTCAGCCCCCAAGCATCTGACGAGTCAAGTGGCTAGGAACTCACTCCCTGTAACTACCTCAAATAAACAAAGAGATAAATTTTCTTAAAAGTAGTACCCTTGATACATAAGCACTCCCAAGAAACCTACATTACATTTCACATTTGCGTGTGTGGGTAAAAAACTGCAGACTGACAACCATCTCAGGTAAAGCTGAAACATGACAGGAGAGAGCAGGCGGCAGAGCGGGCGGGAGTCCCACGCTCCTACAGATACAAAGGTTAGCACCCACCCACTACTCTTCCCTCTGTTTTTGATCAAATTCACGTAACTTAAATTCACTGTATTGGAAAACAAAATCCAAGAAGCCACATACAAAAATCATTTCCTTCAACTGTATAAAATTAAAATTCAAATCTTAGAGAGTGGTTTGTGGTGTAGTGAGTACAGCTGCTACCTGCACCACCAGCATCCCACAGGGGCGCTGGTTCAGGTCCAAGCTGCTCTACTTCAGACCCAGCTCCCTGGCTGGGAGAAGCAGTGAAAGAATGCCAAAATATCTAGACCCCTTCCACCTCTGTGGGAAACACAGAAAAAGCTCCTGGCTTTGGTCTGGCCCAGCCTGGTCACAGCAGCCATCTGAAGAGTGAACCAACGGATGGAAGATCTGTCTCCCCGTCTCTCTCTGTGCGATTCTCCCAGAAAAACAGGTAAACTTTAACGGAAGAAACAAAGAGAGGGAGATGGGGCGGTGGGGGGGGGGGGGGGGAGAACAGGGGAGTAAGGGGGTAAAGAGAGAGAAAAAAAAAAGAAGGAAGGAAGAAAAAAGGGTTCCAACCTTGGGGTAGGCATGCAGAACAATGAGTTAACTTGCCACTTGGGATACCAGCCCTCCCCTGGTTTCTAATTCAACCTCCTGTTTACACACACGTGATGTAGCAGATGATGCTCCAAATATCTGGGCCCCTGACACCTATATTGGAGATTCAGAGTTCTGGTCCAGCCCTGGCTACTGTAGAAAGCTGACAAGTGAACCAGCAGATGGAAGATCTCTTGCCTCTATCACAAAACAAACACAAAACAAACAATTTAAAAGAAAAAGAAAAAACTTTTTTTTTTAAAGTCACACCTTGGGCCTCATGCAATAGCCTAGTGGTTAAATCCTCACCTTGCATGCATCAAGGATCCCATATGGGCAAGGGTTCATACCCCAGCTGCTCCACTTCAGACCCAGCTCCCTGCTTGTGGCCTGGAAAGCAGTAAAGGACGGCTCAAAGCCTTGGGATCCTGTCCTCTGAGAGATCCGGAAGAAGCTCCTGGCTCCTGGTTGCAGGTCAGCCCAGTTCTGCCCTTGCAGCCAAATCGGGAGTGAACCAGCAGATAAAAGTTCTTTCTCTCTGTCTCTCCTTCTCTCTGTAAATCTGACTTTCAACCAAAATAAGTAAATCTTTAAAAATCAGTAAATAAATAAAAAGTCACACCTTGCCTTTAACACCCCGCTTGAAGCTTGAAATCCACAAGCTCATTTATAGAATACACTGCTAAGAGGGTAAACAGAGTGTTGCGGACCACAGACACATGGTCATATTTCTCATGAGAAAATTTAGGAATATCAAAAGAGCAGTTTTAAAAGCAACCTGACAGCAAGGGTGGGAACACAGCCAAAGCACATAAACACACAATGGTAGACATACAGACAGACAAGAAAAGTACAAAAACTATGCCTCCTCCCTCCCTTCCTCCTGCCAGCCATCTCCTGGAGGCCTCTGCTGGCCAGCCACCCTCCCCGGAGCTCTACCCGATGCCCAGGTTTAGGTTTCCTCTCGGCAGGTGCCACCACAGGCCACCGTGTCCCGCAGCTGTAAGTGCTGACAGAGCGCCTCCCAGCCATCCAGAAGCTCCTGGAGGGCAGAAGCCTCATCAACTTTGCTTCTCCCCAAGCCTGGAAACTCAAGAGCTGGCCTTCAAGGAGTTTGTGCACAATAAACCCGGGGTAAAGCGAATGCCCCGAGAGGTTAAGGATCTCCCCAAGGTCACACAGCTGACAACAAACTCAGCCTTCACCCTGACCCAAGCCACAAAACCCAGCTTGATCCTTCGACAGCCAGTGCCACTCCACCACTCCACCACTCCACCGAAGGAGTCAGAGGCTTCCCCTCTCCTTGTTCAGGGCCAAAGAAATACTTGTTACAAACAACAATAGCAAGGGCCACCCACTGGGCAGCATTTTCACTTCCAAGTATTTGCCAAACCAAAAGCCTCCTCCAATTCCTTAAGGGTACAGGATGACCCCCGAGACAGACCCAACCCCTCCGTCTTTTCCATTACTCCTGAAACTGGAAGTTTAAACAACTGCTATCAAAACCTGCTTAGAACTCAGAATGCCCTGTTCGGTATCAGCTGGTTCCACTCTTCTGAGCGCCCACAATCTCCTCTGTGCCCTTCCTCCTACTTGATCTCCCATTCTGCAAGGTAACGATCCCAACAGCGCAGCCCTGGGGTTCCTTCGAAACTACGGCTCATCCTCAGACACACACACACACAAAAAAAACCAGAAAATTCACTTTTGAGAAACTCTGGATTCTGGCAACAGGAACCATCAGTCCTTCACTTCAAATCCATGAACCCATGAACGTGGAATACTGAGCGGGGAGGAGGGTGGCCAAGAAGGGAAGGAACAGTCACACAAACAAAAAGGGGGCTGAAGTTTCTGAAAACACTTTTGTCCAAAGTCAGCTTTCAGCCCACAGTCAAGGCCTGGCTGACACAACTTCTGCTGTCTTCTTTGATCGCCTTCCTGGCAGAGAGAGGAGTTAACTGCCAATACCTTCTGCCACGGGCAGACCTAGGAGGGGGACACACCAGCACCGGGGATGACCTGCTCGGGGTCTCCCCAAACTACTGTCAGCGCCCTCCCCCTTCTGCAAACTGCCACGGGAATGCCCTCCGAGGTGCAGCGGCCAAAGAGTGGAAGCAAGCCTGGCAGTTGCGAGTAGGAAAACAGCAAGACGGAAAAGCAGCGCGGACGGTAAACAAGGCGTCAGCGGTGGGGAGACCTGGAGTGCTGGAAGTGGGGACAGCGACAGGCAGGGGTGAAGAGGCTCCGGAGGGTGGGATGGGCGCGAGCAACTGGGGAGGGGGACGAGCGCGGACTGGGGGAGGGGGCCGAGGGTCCGGGGCGGGGCGGAAGACGAGCCGAGAGGCGGGATGCCGAAGGGCCACGGCCGGGAGGGTCCTTACCTGCAGCTCCGCCCGCTCCACCTCCCACTGGGCTCTCTCCACCTCGAAGCGGGCCCACTCGTGCTGCAGGAAGTGCAGGATCCCCGGGAGGCTGTACTGGGCTCGAGCCGCCCCCGCCGCAGCCGCCCCGTCGCCGGCCGCGGCAGCCTCTGCCAGAGGCCCGAGCCCCTTGGCACCGCCGGCGCCCGGGTGGTTGTTGCTGAAAAAGACGCCGGGACCCGCCTGCTCGTCCATGGCGGCCCGCAGGAAACCCGGGGAGCTGCCCAAGGCGCCCAGCAGCGGAGGCAACGGCGGTAGCCGGCAGTGCCTCCTCCTCCTCCTCCTCCTCCCTCCGCCGCTCCCCGCCCACACCCCAGTCAGCAGGGAGCAGCCGCCTGGGCGCGGGGGGCCGGCCGAGCCCGCGACGGGCCGGGAAATGGGTCAACTGCGGCGCGCGGGCGGCCCGGGGCTTGTTGGGAAATGTAGTCTCGGGGCGGGGCGCGGGCCTGGGCGGCCTGTGGGGCTTCGCCTCAGCCCCGGGCGTGGCAGACGCCCCGCCTCCGGCCCGCTGCCGGGACCCGCCCGCCCGGCCGAGGAGCGCGGGTTTCCTCTCGCGCCGGAGGGCCTGGCGCGGGCCTGCGACGCTGGCTGCTCGCTAGCACGCGGAAGTCCTCGGGCGGCGGTCCCCGCGGCGCGCGAACATTCTCTCTCTGTCTCTCTCACACGCTCGCGGAAGTTGTTACCACGCCAGAATATGAAGCCGACACGCACATCGTGAGGGCTTCCTGGCCATTTTGGAAGAAGCCTTACGGTGGCAGGGCCGGGCTCTCCTGCCAGCCGCTTCCATCCTGTCGCCTGCGTTGCGACTTGGTGGTGTCTGTCCACCGGCGGCTGTGCGCGCGGTGGCCATCGCCCGGCCTCTCCCGAGGGCGCCGGACCTGTTGCCCGAGATGCCCCGTGTCACGAGCCCCGGTGGCACCCGCGCCTGGGCTCTTGGCTGCGGCTTCCACCTCTCAAAGCTGCTCCGCTCGCTGCCTTAAATCCCGCAAAAGTTCCCAGCCGGCGACTTGCTAGCTTACCCTCAGGTACTTTTTAACGCAGCTCGGTTGGAGGGACATTTCGATGGTCAGATATCCCGCATCGGGGAGATAAAGATAGATGACACAGTTCTGTCAGGAAGGGGAGACTGACATATATTTAATCAAGACTTACCAACGTGCCTTAAAGCTACACGACCTGAAAGAACAAAGTCTTGTTTTGTTTTTTCCTCCCTCTCCGGAGCTGTCTTATCAGGCACTTCTTGGCTTTCAAGTGTCCGGTTCCCGTTTCTTTTTTTTTCCAGGGTTCACTAGCAAACTGGCAACAAAATCACCCCCACCAAAGGCGCTACCGCGTCCCTCCCATTGAAGTGACATCTCTAAATGTTTTCCTCCTCTGATGTCCCTGATTTTATATCACTTTAAATTCGCACTCTAGTCGCTTCTCAGCCTTTTGGCCAAGATCAAGTGTAGTATCTGTTCAGTTTAATATCTGATACGTCCTCTATGCAAGGACAATATATTAAATGGATTCTTGAAACTAGGAGTTGGAATAGGAGCTTGCTCAGACTACTCCACGCATCGACCTGGTATTGTAGTACCACCAGGAACGGTGCACCAAAAATAAATAAATAATTTGCACTCTAACATGGAAAAAGGAAGGCATTTGAAAAAATATATATAGGGCCCAGCGGCGTGGCCTAGTGGCTAAAGTCCTTGCCTTGAATGCGCTGGAATGCCATAAGGGCGCTGGTTCTAATCCCAGCAGCTCCACTTCCCATCCAGCTCCCTGCCTGTGGCCTGGGAAAGCAGTTAAGGACGGCCCAAAGCCTTGGGGCCCTGTACCCGCTTGGAAAACCTGGAAAGAAGTTCCTGGTACCCGGCTTCGGATCGGCACAGCACCAGCCGTTGTGGTTACTTGGGGAGTGAATCATCCGACGGAGGGTCTTCCTCTCTGTCTCTCCTCCTCTCTGTATATCTGACTTTGTAATAAAAATAAATAAATCTTTAAAAAAAAAAAGAAAAAAAATATATATAGTTACATATATATCTACATAGATAACAACAGAAAATGAAAGGCACAATAGAATCTCTCGAACAAATTCTTTATTATCCTTTGGTTAGGCCCTGCGCGGTAGCCTGTCGCCTAAAGTCCTTGCCTTGCATGCCCAGGATCCCATATGGGCACCGGTTCTAATCCCAGCAGCCCCGCTTCCCATCCAACTCCCTGCTTGTGGCGAGGACGGCCCAAAGCCTTGGGACCGTGCACCCATTGGGGAGACCCGCAAGAGGCTCCTGGAGAGGCTTCCGATTGACTCAGCTCCAGCCACTCTTTGTATGTCTGACTTTCCAATGAAAAATAAAATAATCTTAAAAAAAATTTAAAAAAAAAAATCCTCCGGTTGTTGGGATACATTTCAGGATATCAGTCCTGAGGCACATGGGGGAAAAGAATGTAAAGATGCAGGCTGGTGAGTGACATGTTGGCAAGGGCATCCTGTCCTCTCTCCCCTCCCCCCTGCCACGCAGGGCTCCTCCTTTTGGAAAGGACAGGAAACACATTGTATCTGCTCTGGTTGCAAAGAAAAGTGGCAGGCTCACTTCGAGCCGCTCAGTGTGTCTGCCTCATGAATCCATTCTTTATTACTCAGGCCTGGCTGCACTGCCTATGTCATAAATTATTTGGGCTATAAGTATCCCTTGAGATACAGTCCGAGCCTCCCATTTACAGCTCAGAAAAACTGAAGTGCAAAGAAATTTGAACTCGTCCACAGCGAGGCCTTGCCTCGAATGAGTGGATGAGCATGCAGATTTCCTGAACTCCTCATTAACAGGTGGATTCTTCTCTTTCTTTTGTGTTTTTTCAAGAACTTATTCACATTTCATAGTATTGATGCTCCGTGTCATGAAACCCTTCTGTACACCAAAACATTAAGATGGATTTTGATAAGGTAAAAATATGAAAAAATAAATATACCTTTCTCTTTTCCCCAAAACTTTCATATGTGATGTTTCTTCTGTAATTTACCAAAAAAAAGATTACTTTTTTTTCTTTTCTTTTTTAATTATATTTCTGACAATCTTTACATAGTTAATTAGGGCTAAAAAGGTTCAAGGGCTACAGGAAAGTGGGTAAGACTATTATTTCCATATTGTTTCCTTCATGTTTAAAGGGGAATGTTAAGGGAGAAGGCCCACCCAGTTTCCCACCCTCCCTAGGTCCCAGATGTAGGGCATGCTCCAAGGTTCTTGCTCAAGTGGTTTTGATAGTTCACCAGTTATGAATTGCTGCCAGTCTCGCCACTCCAAGCACGAGGAGGTCATTGAAGAATCCACTGGTCGACATAGTCCATCTTAGAGTCTCTGTTTGCCCCATATTTTGCTGCTAAGATATAGCTGAGATGGTTGGTTGACTTGTTCTGTCGTCTGTCTTTTCTTGGTTAGGGTTCTGAGTCTGGCATTTCGATTGGGGAGATCTCCAAAGAAACTTTGTCTGAGGTGTTCTCAGACCAGATTAAAAAAAAGAGATTACTTTTTAAAAGAAGACTTTCCTTTATGGATCTTTTACTTTAAAATGCCTACGAGAACACAGACCATCAATCTCAAAATTTCCTCCTGTACCAAATCAGCTTCTGAAATTGTGTGCTCATCTGTCTTCTCCTTTTTCTGTATTCAGCATGAATTGCTTTAGACACTTTATATTCGGAAAAGCTCACAAATGGTGAACTTTCACAAACTAAACCCTTCCATGTAACCCTAACTTGGATCATGAAACAGAAGGCAATGGGACCCTAGAATCTTTCAAATGTACCTTCTCAATCTCTGTGCTGTCTTAGGAATTAAAAAAAACCTTTTTTTTCTGAAAAGATAACTAGAGAAGATATGATGTTTGTAATTAATCAGACCTAAATTTTATTTCACATACTACTATTTCCCAAATATAGAAATCTCATGAAAATGTATTTTTAATGCTTAATTTCTTCATGTTTAGTATATAAAGATATATGTTTAATATATAAACAGTATGTTCCTTAAACAGCTACTCTGTATAAGTACATGAGAGAAGAAAGACAAAACTTCTTAGCAAAGAACTCGGCATATACCATATACCAAGTAACGACCGCTGTTATGATAATAGCATTGACAAGACAACCGAAATGATATACGTAAAAAAAAACTATATAAGAGGCTCACTTCCCATCCCCTATTCAGAATTTTAACATAGACAAGTTAAACTTTAAAATCTTTTTAAACAAAAAGCAAAACAAACAAAAAAATTTATCAGCTTAATGTTTAAACCTAACCATTAAGTCTCAAACTTCAAGGTGTTGCTGATTTCCTGGTCTTTTAATTTTAGCATGAATAAGGCTTGTGTGATATAAAATAGGGTTTCCGTCGTGAGAACACAGTGAAGGTTGTAATACTGATGCGTACGCCTAGGTTCTAAGGTGTAAATTAGGAAATGCTCCAAGGTTTTGTAGCAAACAGGGGCCTTTGTGATTTGTGTGGTTCATGGCATGTATGCTTTGCAGAATGGGAATTATAGCTATACCCCCAAAAATGAAGACTTTGTTGGCTCTTTCTTTGTATTTTTCCTTTAAGAGGAGTGCTTATTTTTCTAAAACTGCCCAAAATGACCGGCTATTTGCATCTCTAACTCTTCTAACTGCTCAAAGAAAAGGCTTCAAATTGAATTTGATGGCTCTTTCAGAATTCTGGCCAGAAGAGAAAGAAAGGGCTGCTTGTTCGGAGCGAGGCCTTCCCAAGGCTAAGGGGAGCTTTAGGGAACAGGACTGTGCAGAATTGCCCCTCTGCTGCCAGCCGTGCTCCCGCCTGGCTCCCCCAGCCCGCTGGCCTGGGCTCTGAGTCAGCCCTGCTTCCTCCAGCCAGCGGCTCTGTCTGCCTCCCCACCAGTGCCAGCCTCCCTTACTGCCTGCGTGTGTAATTCGGGTTAGAAAAACAAGACAATAGCAGATCACAAATGGAGAATTTCTATCTGAAACTGTGCAAGAGTTTATATCACTGTTACATGACAGGATGGGAAAATAGCCTCTATTTGTTGCTAATATCATCGTCGTTGCTATTGGTATTGTTACTGTTATTAGAATATGATTGAAGAATATGATTGAAGTTGCTTCTGTAATTTTAAAAGAAGCATTAAGATACAGCTTGGGGCATCCTGTATTGGAGCGCTGGGGTACCAGGTACAGCTCTGCTCCCCAGTCTAACTTTTGGATAGTTCAGCT